AAGTGCTGTGACTACAGGCACCAGCCACCACTTCCAACCTAAAGCCCACTTCTTTCAAAATCTCAACATATCTCCAGATCAGTGATTCCCAGATTTCTTGTCATTGCAACCTCTTCTCCTTATGTTTGGTTTAGATATTTTATTATATCCACCTTTTTTCCCCCACCTTGCCAATTATTCCCCAGGGAGAAGAGACAAATATTTTTTGGTTTTTTTTTTTTTATGGAAAGTAAAACGTTTTTGTTTTAGTTTTGAGGAATTTTTAAGAGCATACAACACTTGGCGGTCTATTGGAGAAGTGCTGGAGTGTTGCAAAAAAACAGTCACTGCTTTGAATCGTGGAATAAGGTCATTTTAATCTCACTGTTTTTTCTTGACGTGTTTTGTGGTTAAATAAAAAAACACATAATATGAAATCTGCCGTCTTCACAAACTTATAAGTGTACAGTACGGTGTTGTTAACTATAAGCTCATTGTTGACAGCGGATCTCTGGAACTTTATACCCATTGAATAGCAACTACTCATTTCTCCCTTACCCCTGGCAACCACCATTCTGGGTCTGCTTCTGTAAGTTTAAATACTTTAGATACCTCATACAAATAGAATCATGTCATATTTGTTCTCCTGGGACGGGCTTATTTCTCTTAGCACAGTGTCCTACAGGTACATCTGTGTTATGATGAGCTAATCTCACTTATTATTTCTTAAAGTGTAAATACAAGACTAACACACATACAAAAAAAAACATCCCTTGTGTCTTCCAATGACCGTTTAAGGTTTCAGATGCTCACAGTTAAGGCTTAGGTTTTGGGGGTCCTGGGAGGATGTAAGTTCCAGTTCTTTTTTGTAATGAGGAAAGTAACACAAAAGATTCCAGGACGGCAGGTACAGAGAACAGGTTAAGAACGGCCCTTGAAAATATATATTGTCATTGCAGACATCTTCCTGGGGTCAAGTCATAATGTTCCAATATAAATAACTGTTGATCCATGAGGACCTTCTATGAGTCTGTGTTATTGATACTTTGTTTTGCTTTTGGTGGGGTGTTTTTTGTTTGTTTTTTGTTTTTGAGATGGAGTCCCTGTCGCCCAGGCTGGAGTGCAGTGGTGTGATGTCAGCTCACTGCAACCTCCGCCTCCTGGGTTCAAGCAATTCCGCTGCCTCAGCCTCTCAAGTAGCTGGGATTGCAGGCCCACACCACCATGCCCTAGCTAATTTTTTGTACTTTTATTAGAGACAGGGTTTCACCATGTTAGCCAGGATGGTCTCGAACTCCCGACCACATGATCCGCCTGCCTCAGACTTCCAAAGTGCCACTGCGGCTGGCCTGTTTTTGGTTTTACCCTAACTCTTGGAGAGAAGACTTTATGACTAAAAACAAATAAAAAAAAAAAAAACTTCCAAAAAGAGATTATAATTATTAAGAAAGAACTCTATCTGATGATGGAGAAAGTTCAAAGATGTTGTATTGTTCGTTTTTCTCTTCTTTTAAAACAATTAAGGCCAGGGGCGGAGGTTCATGCCTGTAATCCCAGCACTCTGGGAGGCTGAGGCAGGTGGATCATCTGAGGTCAGGAGTTTGAAACCAGCCTGACCAAAATGTTAAACTCCATCTCTACTAAAAATACAAAATTTCACTGGGCATGGTGGCACATGCCTGTAATCTTAGCTACTCAGGAGGCGAAGGCAGGAGAATCACTTGAACCCAGGAGGCAGAGGCTGCCGTGAGCCGAGATCACGCCACTGCACTCCAGCCTGGGTGACAAAGCAAGACTCTGTCTCAAAAAAAAAAAAATTAAAACTAAAAGAAAATATACTAGTTGTTTGCTGCTACATAATAAATTAGTCTAAAACTTAGTAGCCTAAAACAGTAATAAATATTTGCCATCTCACACAGTTTCTGTGGGTGAGAAATTTGGGAGTAGCTTAGTTTTGTGGTTCTGGCCTGGAGAGTCCCATGAGGCTGCGGTCAGTATGTCATCAGGGACTTTGTCCTGGCTTTGGATTGACTCACTGACATGGCCGTTGTCAGGAGGCCCCAGCTCCTCCTAACACGGACCTCTCCTTTGTGCTCTTTGAGCATCCTAACAGCACGGCAACTGGCTTCTCCCTCAGCAACTGATCCCACAAAAAGCAAGAAAGAAGCTACAGTCAGGCACTGTCCTCCCACTATATTCTATTCAAGTGTGTCACCAGAGTAAGTCACTAAGTACGGCCCACACTCGCGGGGAGCAGAATTAGCTCCACCTAAAAAGGAGGGGTTTGAAAAAGGGATGAAAGACCCATGCCACCAGAAGGGTGGACAGGACCTTTGCCAGATATTCTAGTGATGCTCAGGGACAAAGAGTGACCGAGTGTATGCAGTGTGAGCACAAAGTCACAGCTATGGTCAGCGTCGGAGCTGGAGATGGGGGAGGGAGCAAAGGAACACCTGGCCAGGCAACCCTGGGCATCCTCTGGGAGCCAGGCCCGTGGAGCGGAGAGAGGTAACAGGAATGGAGTCAGTGGCTCAAAGATGTGTCAGAGATTGACTGAGGATGAGGCCAGGAGGCCAGCAGAGAAGTGATGCAGGTAAAGACAGTGGCTTTGACCAGGGAGCAAGGTGGATGCCCCAGGCCAGACCTGGAGCTTGGCACTGCTGGAGGAAGTACCTTTACCGATCAGAGCTTCATTTGCTGCCGCTGAAATGGAACGGTGCCACCAGGCCCTCTTCTCCACTGGAGATGCTCCTTCAGCTCAGGAGGACATCAGCTCGGAACCCAAAGTGCACATTGTTGTGGATTGGGAGGAGGGCTGACAGCTTGGTGGGAGAGCCTCTGAAGCTGCCTTTTGAGGGTGTTCGCTTGTTGGCATTTTCAGTACTCCACGCGTCAAGAGTGAGCCTCCTCTTCTCATCATGGAGTTAAGTTCCCAGGACGTAATCTTTATTTTCTCCACAGCCCCTTTCCAAAACTCAACTTTTGTTTGCTTTATAAACTGCCCTCCTAACCTCCATGGACTGAGTTTATCTGTCTTGATGGATGAATCGGAATCCCAAACTTGTCTCTTTTGCTCCAGCTCTCTTGGCAGAGAACACCGGAAGATGGGTTTTGCTTATGTGTGTGTTTGAGGAGGACTTTTTTCTTTTTCTGTCTCAGCCTTAGCTTGTGGGCAAGCCGGCACCTGGGACCTTGACCCACCTCCAAACATGGGCTGAGGCCACACGGGGAGTTCTCCCCAGAACCGTGTGTGATGTTCCCTAATTCAAGGATGGGCTACAGTTTCCAAATCCAAAGCTCAGGGGAACTGTGGGAATTACTTTCCTGGAGCCAGCCTTATCTTATTTGTCCATGTTTTATTCGTGCAAATTGGAAATACTCCCACTACTAAACTGTCTGCTGACCATCTGCCTAGGCAGTGGAGCTGTGGATGCTAAATGGCGTTTCTCAGCGCCCTCCTGTTTACATAGCAGCCACCTGATTGAGAACAGATCATGTTTTTGCTGTGTTATTAATAAAGTGCGAGAAATTGGGGCCGGCACAGTGGCTCAAGCATATAATCCCAGCACTTTGGGAGGCCGAGGTGGGCAGATCATGAGGTCAGGAGATTGAGATCATCCTGACCAAGATGGTGAAACCTCGTCTCTACTAAAAAATACAAAAATTAGCTGGCCGTGGGTGGTGTGTGCCTGTAATTCCAGCTACTCGGGAGGCTGAGGCAGAAGAATAGCTTGAACCAGGGAGTCGGAGGTTACAGTGAACTGAGATCGTGCCACTGAACTCCAGCCTGGTGACAGAGAGAGACTCTGTCTCAAAAAATAAAAATAAATAATATAAATAAAGTACAAGAAGTTGAACTCATATAATTCTAGTTCCTTTTCTGCCGTTATCTAGGAATGAGCTTAGGCCAATATGTAACCCCTGGGGCCTCTGCTATAAGAGATTTGGTCAAGATGGATCTCAGGGTGCTTCTAAGGCTCAAGTTCATTGGCTATGCCGTAATTTAAGAATATAAAAATATTATATTCCCAAATTAGTAGAGAAGGATTTATTTACCACAAGAGGAGAATCTCTATCTTTTCTCTTGCCATTCAACTCATTAGAAAGGATCTGCACGTAATCAAGAGATTTCCCTCAGCATTGTGGAACCAGCAATTTCTTCATGTTGGGAAATAAAATCTAAGTTGGTGTTTTCTCTTAAAACCATACAAATGTTCCTAACATCTTTGTATAACTGAGGCTTATGCTTTGCTGACCATTTCTTTTAAATCCATTTTCCCAATACAAAAATATTGCTTGTCAACATAGCCTTGCCCTTCTGCAGTTCTGTTTGTGTGTGTGTTTGTTTTTGAGTCACCCAGGCTGGAGTACAGTGGTGCAATCTCAGCTCACTGCAACCTTCAGACGTGGGAAGATCGCTGGACTCAAGGGATCTGCCCACCAAGTAACTGGGACCACAGGCACATGCCATCATGCATAGCTTGCCTGCTTGCTTGCTTGCTTATTTGTTTATTTATTTAGTAGAGATGGAATTTTACCATGTAGCCCAGGCTGCTCTCAAATTCCTGGGCTCAAGGGATTTGCCCGCCTTGGCCTCCCAAAGTCCTGGAATTACAGGTGTGAGCCATCATGCTGGCCTGCAGGTTTTTTTGTTTTGTTTAGTTCTTTAGTGAATAAGTTATACTTTTATTTTTCAGAAACAAAAATGACAAGTGGCAACTTGCCTTTCTAAATGATTAAAGAGTATCAGAGTAATAAGCTATCTCTCACAGAGACAGAAGCCCAAGAAACACTATTATACAACTCTCAAAGAAAGTCTTTTTAAATAAATCTCAGAATAATATACTTTTAACTAAATCAACAAGATAAGAACCACAAAAAATTATACAGAACTAATAAAATGTATATGAAGGAGAAAGGGAAATCTTTATATTAAAGATTGTATATGAGGATACATTAAATCTGCATATTAGAAGCTATTAAAATCAAGGTGGCTCAAATCTGTTTCATTTTTAAAATGTTTACGGATATAATTGTGTTTTTCTAAATGTTTCATTAATAATACTCAGTCTCGTAAGTCTGGCTTCATAATAATCTATAATGTAACTACTTCCATCTGGAGGTCCAACAATCTGCACTGAAATAAGAATGAAATCAATTAGGCTCCCAATTCCACAAAACCCTACAGTGCAAAACTTTAACAAACCCAAGACACGGTATCCAAGGTAAAATCGATCTACTCCCAACCATCCAAGAAAAAGAGACGATGCAACTGCCACTTTGTATGAACAGCCATTTATATTTTGGCAAGACATGGGCTTGAAAAAACCAACTTCATTCCCAGTAAAATGTGTTTCATTGCCACTGGAATACTTAGAAGTTATGTTGGGTGCTGGAAAACATGAAACACGAGCTGTGTGGTTTGTACAGTTAACTGATTCTTGCGTAGCTTCATTTACTTTTGGATCTGCAACCCCAACTCTACCTGGCCTCCAAGGGGGGTGTTCCCCACAGAGGATATTGTCCCACTTTGAGGTCCTCACACTTAAGTGACGCCACGCCCCCGGCAGAGGTGGCAACAGCCCCCCAGGGTCCTGTGGTGACTGAGACTAACCATAGGACACCGAGGAGTCTGACAGTCACGGCCTCCAGAGCAGACAGGCTGGAAGGCCAGGCAGCTGCCATCTTGAAAACCGGCACTTCCGGCTGGCCTGCAGTTTTAAAGTTTGTTCTAAACATCACTCTGGTTTCTCCCATTAAAAAATCTGACCGCTTAACCTCCAATTTTTAAATTTTATAAATTGACTAATAAAGGAATATTTTGCTACAGTGTTAATCTTTTATCTCCTGGGTTTTATGTAAGTTTTTAAGTGAAATTGCTTCTGTTTTATAGGTATTTAACTTATGATCTATGTTAGTATTAGGGTAAAAATTGCGAATCAGCAACTCTGGTCATTTTATTGCTCTAGTTGAGTTGGCTGAGTCAGGAACATAAAAAGGGCATACCTAAACATTGACCTGTTTGTACCTACGAACGGCTGAGGACCAATTTTTAAATAGGTCACAGTTAATCAAAATCTCTGCACTTTAATCTTTTCCAAATGCTAAACTATGCCCTTGTACAAACTGGAATAAAAGCAGTCATAGCTAGCTATGCCTAGCAGAGTCCAGAGTTCCCTGAAAATCTTTTCAATGCTCAAAAACAGCAAAAGCCAGTTTCTTGGAATGGTTCCTAAACTCTTGCTATTTAAACCTTCATAGGAAAATGCTAAGTGGTGTGTATTTTGGTAGTAACATTGCTTCACTCAACTATTCAGCAGTTTTTGATTACCTGCTTGGTGCCAATTACCTGCACCAGGCATTGGATCACAGAAAAGAACTAGAGAGAATAAATTGACACGTGCTTAGCAGCACTGAGCCCACGATATGCAGACAATTTCAATGCATTGTGAAAATGCTATGATAAGAGAGAGGCATGTAAGAACCAGGACCCCATTCTCAGTTGGAGGGGCTCGATTCAGGAGTGAAGAGGGGTGTAGAAGGGTTAAGGGAGGTTTGTCAAACAAAAAGAAAACTCATCAGAGATATAAAGGCTATCTAGGAGTTAACCAAACAAAGGTAGGGCGGGGTGGGAAATGGGAAAATTATTCTAGGAAAAGGAATGGCCTGTGCAAAGGCTAGGGGCTAGGGAGAGCAAGACATGTTCCAAGAGTCACAGGAAGTTTATTATGGCTGGAGCTCAGGGTTCAGGAGGGAAGAGGCAAGAAATGAGGCTGGGAAAAGCTACTCAGAACCAGATCTTGTCTGTTCTGGATTTTACAGTTTAGTGAATGTATTCATTCAGGACCATTACCTTCTTCCTGGTAGTTAGAAAGTTTTTCTCAAGAGGAAAATGTAAATCTAAAATGTTTCAAATCCCAGAGAGAAAATATTTTTCCCAGGAGTATTTACCAAGTGTTAACATTGACTTTTAAAGTTTTCCTAGAATTCCTGCCATCCAAGGTAATTCTATGGCATATGGCATTTTTTTTTTAGTAATTTGCAAGACAAAACATGAGGCGTATATTCAGATACTGATTTTCACATTAAACACTAATTTAAAACATTAAAACCCAATAAAAAGGGCTGGCGTTCTCAGATCAGTTTATTCTAAGATGTGGGTAGGACTTTAGCCGTTTGGCCACAATGGGGTTATCATCCACCCGGCATTCAGGGGAAGGAGGAGGATTCTCACCTATGTGGAGCTGCAAGTCTAAGCTACGTATACCACTCAGATAACACCTCAGACATTTCAGACTGTGTGCAAAGAGTAAGCCGTGACCTCTGTTTATGATTCTAGCAGTATGTGGCCTTTTCTCCAAAATACATTCATGCTTTTACTCTCTTGTTTTTCTATTTTGGTAATTTGTAGACATAACTAACTGCCTTGGCTTGACATTGGAAACCTCTGTCATCTAGTCTAGGCTGTAGTTCTTATGATTCTGTTTTCTTCTCCCCAAACACCTCACTCTCCAACAAAGCAAAATGAGACGAAACACCCCAGCCATACAGATTATGTAGAGAGGCAGCATGAATGCATGAGGGAGGCTCTGGGTTTAGACTCAGAAAACCTAAATTCGTGACCTACCGACCCCATTTCCAGTCCGTGTGACCTCACAGAAGACAGCCTTACTTAACCTCGATATCTTTATCTGTAAAATGACTGGCTTCTCTCACAGGATTGCTAGGAAAATCAAAATGAAGTCATGGATATAAAAACTTGCTGTGAGGCCAGGCACTGTGGCTCTCACCTATAATTTCAGCACTTTGGGAGGCCGAGGCAGGAGGATCGCTTGAGCCCAGGAGTTTGAGACCAGCCTGGCCACATAGCAAGACGCTGTCTCATTATTTTTAAGAAAGTAAAAATAGGCCGGACACGGTGTCTCACGCCTGTAATCCCAGCACTTTGGGAGGCCGAGGCGGGTGGATCACGAGGTCAAGAGATCGAGACCATCCTGGTCAACATGGTGAAATCCCGTCTCTACTAAAAATACAAACAATTAGCTGGGCACGGTGGTGCGTGCCTGTAATCTCAGCTACTCAGGAGGCTGAGGCAGGAGAATTGCCTGAACCCAGGAGGCGGAGGTTGTGGTGAGTTGAGATCGCGCCATTGCACTCCAGCCTGGGTACCAAGAGCGAAACTCCGTCTCAAAAAAAAAAAAAAAAAAGTAAAAATAAAAACTTCTCTGTGAGGTGTAAAGCCCATTATTAATGTAAAGTACAGCAGTCTGCCTTCATCCATGGTTTTGCTTTCCACAGTTTCAGTTATTTATAGTCAACCTTGGTATGAAAATGTTGCATGGGAAATTCCAAAAACAAATGATTTCTGATTTTAAATTTCACACAGTCCTGAGGAGTGTGATGAAGTCTCACCCCCTCCAGCTCTGTCCAAGCCAGGATGTGAATTACCCTTTTGTGTAGAGTGTCCAAGATGTTGACGCCACCCACTCAGTAGTCAGTCAGTAGATATCTCGGTTATCAGATTGACTGTCATGGTATCATAGTGCTCATATTCCAAGAAACCCTGATTTTACTTAATAATGGCCCCAAAGTGCAAGAATAAAAAAGTTGGTGTATTGTTAGAGTTGTTCTATTTTATTATTAGTTACTGTTGTTAATCTCTTACTGTGCCTAATTTACAAAATAGATTTTATCAGAGGTGTGTGTGTGTGTGTACACACACACAAACACAAACATATATACATAGTATTAATATATACTGTATATATATACACATAGTATTAATATGTAATGTATAAATTTAGTACTATCCACAGTTTCAGGCATCCACTGGGGGGTTTTAGAAAGCATCCCCTGCAGGGATAAGGGCGAGCTATTGTATTTTTATTTTTCCTGCAATTGACACACAGTTTTCTTTCTTTCTTTCTTTCTTTCTTTTTTCTGAGTCAGAGTCTGGAATTACAAGGGCACACCATCATGCCTGTCTCAGTCACCCAGGCTAGAGTGCAGTGGCACAATCTTGGCTCACTGCAAATCAAAATGGACCTGCCTCCAGGGTTCAAGGAGTTCTCCTGCCTCCGCCTCCCGAGGAGCTGGGATTACAGGTGCATGCCACCACACCCAGTTAATTTTTGTATTTTTAGTAGAGATGAGATCTCACCATCTTGGCCAGTCTCCAACTCCTGACCTCGTGATCCATCCACCTCGGCCTCCCAAAGTGCTGGAATTACAGGCGTGAGCCACAGCACCTGGCACACACAGTATTCATACATCTTGAACATACTGATCCCCTTGCCTGAAATTTTCTTACTTATCCCCACCCACCATTTTTAACTTTTGAAAGCCCATTTCCCCTTTCATGAATTTAGTTCTGACCTACTCAGTAAGATATATATTTTTTTTAGAGGTGAGGTCTCGCTATGTTGCCCCAGGCTGCAGTCCAGTGGCTACTCACAGGCACAATCACAGGCACTACAGCCTCAAACTCCTGGGTTTAAGCAATCCCTCCATCTCAGCCTCTCGAGTACTGGGGACTACAGGATTTTTTTTTTTTTTTTTTTTTTTTTGCCCTGTCATTCAGGCTAGAGAACAGTGGTGCAGTCATAGCTCACTGCAGCCTTGACTCCCAGGCTTAGGTGGTCCTCCTGCCTCAGCCTCTTGATTAGCTGGAACTACAGGGGCACACCATCATGCCTGGCTAATTTATATTTTATTTTTTAAAGACGGGGTCTCACTATATTGCCCAGGCTCCCAGGCTGGTGTCAAACTCCTGGGCTCAAGTGATTCTCCCACCTCAGCATCCCAAAGAGCTGGTGTAGCAGGCTGGATCTTCATAAGCACTTTGCTTTAATGATGAATGTATAAGTTAAACATTAAAGCAGAAGTAGAAAAAAAAATGGATAATAAACTGGGGAAACCGGTGCCTGAGTAAGAAAGCTCGAATGCAAAACCAAACTCATTAGAACCTTACCTGGACTTCCTCAACCTCAACCCTAATGGATTGATAAAAGCATGCACCAATGGCCAGGCGCAGTGGCTCACGCCTGTAATCTCAGCACTTTGGGAGGCTGAGGCGAGGCGGGTGGATAATGAAGTCAGGAGCTCAAGACCAGCCGGGCCAACATGGTGAAACCCCATCTCTACTTAAAATACAAGAGATTAATTGGGCATGGTGGCACGTGCCTGTAATCCCAGCTACTCGGGAGGCTGAGGCAGGAGAATCATTTGAACGAGGTGGAGGTTGCAGTGAGCCAAGATCACACCATTGTGTTCCAGCCTGGGCAACAGAGCAAGACTGTACCAAGAGTCTTGGTGCAGAGCAAGTGGGTGTACTAACACCCACTTAAGAAACTTTCCTACCCGTAGACCCATAGTTAAAATCAGATTAAGAAACACTCCCACAAGTAGGCATAGAGCTTGAATTGTATATATAAGCTAAAAGAAAACTTGTAACTTTGAGTTAGATCTGGTGAGTTTCTTGGACCCTGTAACTGGTTGCAGAATAAACTCCCTCCTTTCCCAGTCTGTCTGCATCTTGTTATTGGACTTGAGAACAAGCAGCCAGACCCTATTTGTCTGGGAACTCTGGGAATACAGCCCAGGAGATTATTTTTTATATTTGTATTTCTATTGTAGGACAGCTTGCACTTCACCTGTATTATAATTGCATGTATACTTGTCTGTCT